TATCAAACGGAGTGCGACTACTACCTAGCATTCTGTAGAAGGTACGTTTAAAGGATAATGACAAGCAAACGGGGAGTATGAAAGAATGATAAGAAGCCTGCTATTGTTTACGGTGTCCCTGTGCCCCAAGCCTCCTTTTCCTACCAATCTCTTGCGCAAGACCATGAACACTGGCGCTATATCCGTGAGACTCCTATAACAGCAAGCGTTTATAGTACCAGTGCTTATTAAAGATGAAGGATTTTAACATCTTATAAATAAATAGGTTTGCAGGCCTGTTATGTACTATTTTATTATATCCTGGTCATGTTCCTTCCTAATTTTACAGCTAGAACAGATAAAACGGTTTTAACACTACCCTCTAGGATATGTCGTTGCTATTTCGCTAACAAGGATTTCCACGCCACCCAAAGAAAAAGTGGTTCCAAGCTGCTAAATTGGAGTTACATTCTGAGCTAACGTTGCAGATCATTTCCCGTGTACTTGCGGATAGACGGACAGCCATTTCATTTAGGGGTTTCTTTCACTGGTAAGGGCAAAAAAGAAAACTAGTGGCGTAATATACCCACTCATTATGTTAAATAATAGTATCTATCACCACTATCGCCGCTCTTTACCTATAGGTCTTTACTCTTAACAAACTCCTAGTTTTATTCGGCCCAAATGAACGACATATTACCACTGTTTGTGCGCTTTTGTGCGTCTGGCCGTCCGGTGATACACATTTGGGTCGAATTTCGGTCATACAAAAAATTTAAACTAGCCTTGTGGCATCGATACCCCGTAATTACGATTTGGAACTTGATTTCTACATGGTGCGAACGGTGTCTGCAAAAAGGAACAAGGCATTCACGCATTAGACTGCATTTAAACTTATCTGACGGACCGAAATTCATCCCAAATACGTCTCAATGGGACGGCCATAGGCAAAAAGCAGACACTCAGGAAGTTTAAACGGTACCTCCAGCGGAGGCTTTTTGCTCACTTTTGTTATACGGGTAGTGAACGGGGCTGCTTCATAGGAGGCTGCTAAGAGCACTTCGACAGAAGGAGGCTGGCACACGATTACAGGCTACCCAACAGTGGCGGTAAAACGTAAATGCTCTTGTTTTGAGCTCCAACGCCGCGTCCAATCTAACTTACGCACCGCATAATGCAAGTAACCATTAGGCGCAGCATGGCCTGCAGTGTCTGATGTAACAGCCTATCCTATCTCCAAATCCAGAGCCGGTGACTCATTAAGAGCAACTTACAACCAAGCTGCTGTCTACACCTACACGCAATCATTTTATGTGTTAGGCCCGCTCATGTTTTGGTAACGACACATGAGGCCTTTTCAGTAAGTAGGCAGAGCTCCGCTTGCTTCACGCCTCTATGTTGCAGTACCGTGTCACGGTAACCAGATGTTTGACTGATGACTAATGTCAGAATCGTACTACCTGGGTGTCTATCCGCGCAGACGTCAACCGAATAGACGAGGTGGGTTTCTTTACCAACGCAGTGAGCTACATCGTGATCTCTGTGACGACGTAAAGTTCAGATTTTCGCCACTACTTGCTGCGGTGTTCAACTAAGACCTGGCGCCATGATTAGTAAGGTTCGCGCACCGCCCACTAGTTTAATTAAGAAGTGGATAATTACTTAGCCTCCCCTATGCAGACTGTTCTCGCAGTCACACAGGAAGGTTCGTCTTGTTAGAACCCAAGGGGCAGGCGGTAACTTGTTTATTGCTAAAGTGGCTTACACTAGGTGTGTTCGTTCATACCTCGGAGGCGTCCGCTCATCTGCATGATCTCCATGGAGTGTTCCCCAACTGGTGCTTGCCTTTGTGTTCACTCCTCGTGCGCATGGAACTGCAATCCTGATGTCATCTTCAACTTTGGGAAAGTCGGCAGGGCTCGCTGTTGGTGTGTCATCTTGCACCACCACACTACTTATATCCGGCGCAGTAGTATCTACCTTTAATCCACCACACTCCTCCCCTCCAAAGGACTCGCGTCAGCTGCCTTCCGTAGGAGTCTTTCTGACCGCCGGGGATGTTCACTGTATGAGAGTGTTTCCTCCTCCAACTTGTACCACTTCCTAGGCTCGCCAGCATTCACCCTCCGCGATTCACCTTGCCCAGTGACTGTATACACTGGGCCTCGCCGGTCGACCACCTCGTACAGTCCTTTCCACTTCGCTAGGAGTTTCCTCTCCCCTGGGCCGCAAGTGGGATAGCGTTGATGGTCCCTGTACTTCACTTTCGAACCAACCTGAAACTCGATATTCCTTCCTGGTCTGGAACTTCGCCATCCTCAGCACCTGAGTCGCCTGTAGGTTGCGGTTGGCGGTCTTCCGGTTATTCCGTGTCTCCTCGGGAGATATACGGCATGTTGGCCACATTCCAATCTCTAGGTCCACACGTAGAAGAGGTTGTCGACCGTACATCAAATGGAATGGTGAGTTCTTTGTGGAAGCATGTTTGGTTGCTCAATGGGCCAGCAACAGTAGCGGCAGCGCTTCCTCCCAGTCTCCACCTTTCGCTGCTATCCACTCCTTCATTGATCTATTGTTACGTTCCGTCAGGCCATTTGTTTGCGGGTGGTATGGGGTGGTGCTCAATTGCTTGATGCCAAGTTTCTCCAAACGGTTCCGGAATTCTTCACTCTCGAAGCACTGCCCATGGTCTGTTAATATGGCCTTTGGGATTCCGTGAGCCACTACCAAGTGATTCATGACAGCATGGGTAAAAGTGCTGGCCCGTTGATCCGGGATTCCTGTAGCCTCAATCCAACGCGCTAAGTGCTCCGTCGTCAATAAAATGTACTGGTTGCCACGCCTGGTCAATGGAAACGGCCCCATCACGTCGACCGACCAAAGTTCCCCAATTTCCGAGATCGGGATCGTCATCGTTTGCTGCTGCATTCCTCGGCAATCCATTTTCCTGAGCTGACATTGCCTGCACGAAAGCACGCACTTCGCAACGTCCCTTTTCATCCCCGGCCAATACGCGCGTTGTTTCAGCAAATTGTAGGTCCTGGAACAATCTGTGTGCGCCATCTCGTGACAAGAAACTACCAGATTCCGTCTTCGTTTCATTGGAAGGACTGGCACCAAAGGGTTGCTACCTCCTGGTAGCCACATTAAGATCTCTGCTTCGTTCATTTGTAGCTTTCCCAGGTCTTATGCAAACGGTCCCAGCTGCTTAAGTTGGTTTTTGTTGAAGTTTGGCTGATTAGCTAAGCGCGCGGTGATCAACTTGCGCAGGAGTTTGTCACTACGTTGCTCAGTTGCCAACCGTCCTGGATCCTGTTCGCACAGTATACCGTTAATACCGAAAGCTACGCTCGGCAGGTCATCATCCTTTACCATGGGTGACAAGAAATCCGCCGTCTGATTTTCCCTCCCCGGCACGTGTTTTATCGTGAAATCATACTTTTGTAGGCGCAATGCACATCGGAGCAGCTATCCTCTGGGGTCTAGCGCAGACTTAATCAACTCCAACGGTCTGTGGTCTGTTTCGACGTGAAGCCGCTTACCCAGGTGATATGGCCGACATTTATCCAACGCCCAGACAATTGCGAGACATTCCCGGCCTAGTACGCGCGTTGTTTCAGCAGATCAGTATGTGTCGCTGAACAACCGAGTGTGTGCCTATGCTCGTGACGCCAGGAAAACTACCAGATTCGCGTCTTCGTTTCATTGGAAATGACTGGCACCGTGAAGGGTTGGCTACCTCCTGGGTATCCACATTAAGATCCCTGCTTCGTTCACTTGCAGCTTTCCCAAGTCTTTTGCAAACGGTCCCAGCTGCGTGAGCTGGTTTTTGTTGAAGTTTGTCTGACCAGCTACTCGTCGCGGTGATCAACTTGCGCAGCGACGTTAATGTCCGCTCCGCAGTCTGCTCCGTCACTTGTCCTAACCCGCGTATCCTGGACACCCTATGCGTCCCCGCCTCAGTCATACCAGTCCCTGACCCGTGTAACGCTACGCTCGGCCAGGTACATCAATCATCTATCCGCGGTAAACATGAAATCCGCCGTCTGATTTCGCGCTCACCCTGGTACGTGTCTTATCGTAGAAATCATACTCGTTGTGGGCGGTCCAAGCACATCTCGCCAGCTTTCTCTGGGTTCTTTGGCAGACCTTAATCGGCACTCCTCACGGTCTGTGGTCTGTTTCAGACGGGGAAATCGCTGACCAGGAGATAATGGCCGCTAGTTGTCTTTTATCCAATAAGGGGGGGGAAAAAACACCCAAATGGAAAGGGGGAAAGACAATTGTGAGAGCATTCTTTCTCTAGGGTTGAGTATCTGCATTCCGCAGGGTGTCAAAGTTTGGCAGGCATACTCAATCGTCGCCATAGGTTTTGTATGCTCACACCGCACCCTGTCGGCGGGGGGGGGGGGGGAAAGGGGGGGGGGGAGGGGGTGGACATCACTGGCGCAGTGCCTTACCGTGAAGACACCTCACCAGGGCAATGGGGCAATTGCAGGGTCAACCCTCCCCTGCCTTCCCCGGCATTCTCCTGTAGAATTTGTCAAAGGCTCGTTGAGGCTTCGCGCACTTCCTAAGTGTATTTCCTGTTTTGTTTCAACAGCTCTTTCAAGGGTGAGGCCAAGTGTTAAAATCCTTGACGAATTTGCTGTAGGAACCCGGCGGCGGCGCGCAGGAATGTAGGGCGAGAGTGACAGTCTCAGAGTGGGAAGTAGGGGCTGCCTTGTATTGTCACAGTATCTTCTCAGGTAGCGTTTCAGTTCGCACTTGTACCACTTTATGGCCCGAGTAATGGGTGAAGATGTCTTTTTCGATTCTGGGATTTTGGTCGCATTTATGACTAAGCCGCTAATAGGCGACTAGCTGAATGCGTTCCAGAACTGGCCGCGTGATGATGAATATGTCCGCTTCTTATGTGGCTATACACCCGATATCATCCGCGCGTACACAAACCACGTTTTCAATTCACAGTCCAGGGCAATCGCATGCATTAGACATCGGAAGATAACTGGGCTCCTATAATGCAGGTGGGGGGGGGGGGGGGGGGGGGGGGGGGGGCCGGCCCCCGGCCCCTAAGGGTAATCCTCTTAAACTGGACTCGTTTTTCTCACCAACGGTACAACAGCCCGTCTTCTCGATCTTCCCTGTTTTATTGGCCATTTATCCAGTATCGCTGATCCTCAAAGTATCGCAGGACCTAGTGAATATCCTCGACTACTGCAGGCCGATCAAAATGGTCAGGCAACTGATGGAACTTGGAAGCGAAAGGGCGGAGTCCAAAGGAAATTGTCATTTACAACTTCGGAAGTACGACACAGAATCGGATACTCTCCCATTCGGCTTCTTCACTAAGCACCACAGGAGAGTTGTAGGCGGGTCTATGTGCCTCGTCCTCATTTCTCGGCCGCGCCTCCAGCATTTCACTGCTACTTGCCTGGTTCTACCTAGCAGCGCTTGCCAGGAGTGGCGATTGGTGATCGCGTTCGAGGCTCACCGGGGCCGAGTAGACGGTTGGCGAGTTTAGGCGGGATGGGTGTGCTCGATCGGCTATTCACAAAACGGCGCATCTTATCTTTTGATTATTGGCTGCTGTGCAATCCGTAATAGCGAAGGGTTGGTCATTTGATTAGATCAGGGCGACTGCGATAGGATGGCTCGAAATGTAACACAGCAACGACACGAGCTGCGAGGTATCTTCATTTTCTTCCCACGTATTAATGAGATGGTAGGTGACCCGGCATATCACACAATTGATGCAACTTCGACACTGCTTTTATGATCTATGAACAGCTTTATTGAGCTCGCAGGTAAATTGCTGCTGCCGCAATATGGTGTTGTTTGCGCATGCTGGTGTACAGCGAGGATAAGGAGATGCGTTGGCGCTATTCTACCGTAAGCCCGCGATTCCCTACGGTGTGTTCTGGCTATACCATCAATTCCGGGCCTCTGTAATGGGACCGCCAACTTACGAGCCGCTTCTTACCGATTGGGCGTGCAGCATCAGTCTGAAGTCTTTTCGTCACCTCGCCGATTGGTTGATTAGTGACTAACCAGCTGGGCGCACCCGTATCAGATGCAGAACACCTTCCATCGTTCCGTCTACTTCCCTATTGCTTCAACTCGCAGCTCCTCTCAGCGCCCCAAGTACACAATTTTGATTCGAAAAGAAAATATAAGGTTTAGCACACGTTTATTCGACATCCTGAGTAATCACCACCTCCTCTGGCGGACATTGTTCTCTTCGCAAGGCCGCCGTTTCCCGCAGATGGAACGCAACATCCCTCTTGTACTGCAGCCCGGAGATAGACGCTTGAACGCGAAGCCCTGATGGTCTTCCGTAAGCTGGCTCCATCATCCGTTCCAATTTGTCCATGGCGGTTCCACATTCTTCCGCGTGGCTGCTTCTAATCAGCGCAGCTAGTGGAGCGTCGCCCATGGTTCTTGAGTAATCTTGGCGGCCAACTCCTTCGCAATTGGCATTTTTCCGAGTAGCATTCGCACATCCATAACGCGCTCACGCTGTTGGCTGTAAGGGGGAGGCCGGCCAAAAACTGATCCCACTAAGGGAGGAAGGGGGGGGGGGGGGGGGGGGGGGGGGGGGGGTTAGGGGGGGGGGGGGGGGGGGGGGGGGGGGGGGGGATGGGGGGTTGGCACAACTGCGTTTGACGTGCCCCATCCAACCCGCAAGGCGCGTTCGCTAACTAAGCTCCTGATGTGCATACGCGCAAACACGTAGGGGCATCCGTCCCGTCACCAAGCGCGACGCCTTGAAGCCGTCATTGTCGGCCTGCCTGACGGTGCTGGCCGGCGTGTCCACCCAGACAGAACGCTTCTTTCGCTGGCGGTACCACTCCAACCATTGAGCAAGAACGCTCTTCGTGCCGCCTCACAGAACGGGGCCTTGCGCCCCTGCAGTTTAGGAGACTCCCCACGGTCTGTCCATATTATTCGGCCGGTCCATCCTCAGTCCTACTCGCCCTGCTTGCCACTTCGTCTCGAATCCTCCAATAAACTACTTCCCCCTCCCTCGCACAACACCGTCTATCCAATATGGTTCCGTGCCAGGAGGGGGGAAAATTTTCTCGCATAGTTTGCGAGATCACGGCACGCAAAATGTTAGGAACCCAAATGCCCATGGCGGGATTAGATTATGTACCGTCGCGTTGCTTTACGTACTAAGGGGGGTTAGTTCATACATTGGAGGCGTCCGCTCATCTGCGTGATCTTCCACAGAGTGTTTCCCAACTGGTGCTCGCCTCTGTGTTTACTCCTCGTGCGCATGTAACTGTAACCTTATGTCATCTTCAACTTTGGGAAAGTCGGTCAGGCAGCTGTTGGTGTGTCAGCTGCA